TTATTATTATAAATAACTAATAAAGTGCTATTGGAGAAATTTGCCTATTCCTCTGCAATCAGAACAGATTATCCCACTAGACTAGGAATGGAAAGGGAAAATGGTAGAGATAAATACAGGTAGTCCTCAATTTATGACCATAACTGAGCCCAAAATTTATGTTGCTAACTGGGAAATTTGTTAAGTGAGATTTGCCACATCTTACAGTTTTTCTTGCATCACTGCAGTTGTTAAATTAGTGATAGTGTTGTTAAGTAAATCTTCTTTTCCCATTGACTTTGCTTGTCAGAAGGTTGCAAAAGGTGATCACACTGTAACTGTCATAAATGTGAGTCAGTTGTCAAGCATTCAAATGTAAATAATGTGACCAATGGGATGTTGCAACAGTTATAAATGTGAAACATGGTCATAAGTTACTTTTTTCAGTGCCATTGTAACTTCAAATGGTCATTAAGTGAATTGTTGTGAGTTGAGGTCTATCTGTATATAGCAACATACCTCACTTCCCATCAAAAAGAAACATATTAAAACTGCCTGGTCCCAGAAAAGACCAAGAAATAGTGACTTCTAGTTAATAAACTATATGCTTTTAACATACCTATCTAGATATGATCTATTCATAAACACAAGATTGCAGGTAATACAAGCACTGTTGATCACCACTTATTGTTCCTAAAATACTACTTCTTTTTACCCTGCTCAAGAATTTACTATAATCAATTTATTCATTCCTGATAAAAAGCAAAGATTCTCCTGTACGCAGCTTATACCCTGATGACATTGTGCACATAACTATGCCATTTTTTTTGGCAACCATAAGGAAGTAGTTTGTCACTGCTTTCTTCCTGGATATATATTTTTAAAATTTCTCTGACTAGAATCCTGGAATTTGTTGCTGGTCTCTGATCCAAGTATTAGTTAGTCCTGACCCTACTTTACTTCTAAGTCTAGAGGTCAGCAAGATGCTGCCACCTGCTGAGATTCTACCTTGATTAAAGGTATAATATTTTGCTTCAGAAGTGGAGTTGGTGACAAAAATCAGCACAATTCTTAACAAATTTGATGCAATATTAAGTGCATATTGCATGTGTTAAAATGTGGTTGACTAATTTAAACCTGTGTAATGTGTAAACTTGGCCAGTTTGATAGTTCATGAGTTAGTTTATTATGAATCCAGGCAATCAAGTTAATTCAGTGTACCATATTTCTACCATGGTTTATCACATTGTGAGCACAAAGACCATGAGTACTGAAAAGGAATCCAATGCAATTAAATCAGAAATACAAAGCTCCTGATCGTAGCTATGTTGCTATGTTATACTGGTTAGACTAGAAGACCTTCAAGGTCCCTTCCAACTTTTATTCTGTTTGCATGTGTCCAACTAGTCAATCCAACAAAAACAGCATTGCACTGTCACATTGCAGGCCTTGTCTTTTGTATATGCATGTTGTGATATAACATAAATAATATGATCAAAAATGTGGAGCTTACAGTATAGTACAATGCAGTCTTCATAATTTTGATTAAAGCAGGTGGGGCTGTGGACACCATACAAACATTTTTTGCAGTTAATTGTTCTAATATTAGCAAACTACATTATATGAGTGGAAATTCAAGAGATCCTACTAAAATGTGGCACTGTAACCTACTGCAGGGAACTCACTCTTACAGGAGTAGAATATCACTGTTGTGTCTGTCAGCCAGTTCTATTAGCTAAACTGAGAAATGAATATATTTTTAAGACAATCTTTGTGCTTCAGCCACTAACATTATCACAAGCATAAGCAAAGAGGACAAAGGATAACATGCATGTGATTGCATAATCAGACATGTTATGATTTATTTATATACTTGCATCAGAACTTGTGACATAGTTGACATCTTTATACACATAATAATTTTGACAGCATTGTGATATTATATCCACACCACTGAATAGGCCAGTTTAATAAATGGTTAATAGCCCTGGCATAGTACAATGTGTGAAATTAGCTATGACAATAACTTATCATTCATGAAATAACTGCTGATATTTACAGAATACAGGTAGTCCTTTCTTAATTTTTGTCCTGTTTAGCAACTGTTCAAAGTTACAGCAGTGCTGAAATGATTGGTCCTTGCACTTACAACCATCACAATGTCCTCCAGTCATGTGATCACAATTTGCATCCTTCACAGCTAGCTTCCAACAAACAGTCAATGGAGAGGATGCCACTAAAATTGCAAATTGTGGTCATGTCATCCTAGTTCCACTTTAGGCAAGAAAAACCATCTGGGTGACTTTGGCTTAGTAGTCTCTCTCGACCAACTCACCTCACAGGGTTGTTGTGCAGGGAAAATAAGAGGAAGAAAGAGTTTCAAGTGTGTTTGCAACCGTGAGTTCTTCACAAACAATAATGAAAGTGGAATAAAAATCAAATAAATATATATATTAAAATACACTTAGTCTTGCTTAGCCCTGACTTGCATTTGAGTTTTGATGTACCCATCTCATTCATCTAACAAAATAAAACAAAAATAGGATAGATAAGTACTTGCAAATTTGTAATAAACTGTTTTTCTTATCTAGCCCACTATACATGGTTTAACCCATTATTTGTTGGGTAAACCATTATTGGCTGGCTTGGATTTTAAACACTAAGCCACATATTTGATTGACCAACCATTGGCTATTTCATGTGGTCCATTAAACTTTATCAAACAAAGAATGCTGCATCTTAGACAGATGAATCCAAGGACACAGTAATTCAGTATATTAAGTTGTTGATTTATTCTTATGATATAAACTAGGTATGGTTTAAGTTTACTGATTCAACACATTTTCCTCAATGGAAAATCTGTTCAGAATTTCCTCATGGACTCTAGTGTTCACTCATTTGCTCCTCAACATTTTAAGAATACTAGTTCCTGAGCACAATAGTATTTATGTTCCTGATTTTTTGCCTCAGCGATATTTTAAAATGTCACAACCATCTTCCCCCCTTTTCACTAAGGTGCGTTAAAAATAAGTGCAGTGGGGTGGGGGGAGGGTTGGAGAGAAAGTTTTTCATTTGCTACAGTTGCAGCAAGCTGACATTGACCCTTCAGCGTGACCTTGTCTGGGCTGTCTCCTTAGTAACCAGATCCAGAGAAAGAAAACCTGTAGGAAAACCTACGGCCAAGCCTCTCTTTTGGCTACTTAACCTTTCTGCCAATCTGCTGGGGGGGGGGGGGGGAGCAGGCAAACAAGATCCCCCGGTCTTGGTAGGCAGATGAGCGGAGAAAACTTAGTTAAGAAGCAGCTCCGACGAACGAGCTATGCCACTCCGGGGAAAGAGATCATTGATGCACGAGAGGGCACTGCGGGTCCCTACACGTCGCCTTAACTTTCGGCCCGCCTCCTTTATTCTCCTGCGGTGCCCGCAGAGTTGGCGTCAACAAATAATAACCGCGTTTCACACGGGCGCCCACACTTAGAAAGTAGCATAAAACGTGTCGCCCGTGCGTCTCGGCTCGTTTCGGATCGAGGAGCTCTGCGATAACACAATTGTAGAGGGCGCCCAGGAGGTGGCAGTGAAAAGTTTAGCGGGGGGGGGGAGAGGAGGGGGGTGCGGAGGACGACACCGATAAAAGCGGTGGAGGGGGGGGCAATCTCCTTAAAAAGAGCAAATAGAGCTCTCTCTGCGCCAGCTTATCTCCTCAGGCCGAGCCGGGTAACAGGGTGGGGAAAAGGGACGGCAAGGCCTACTGGCCCCCGAACGGCGGCTCCGCGGCCTGAACCGATTGTCAGAGCCCAGCAAGAAAAGAGGCGACGAGGAGGAGGAGGAGGAGGAGGAGGCGGACTCGCCCTCCCGCCCAGGCCTTCCTGCTTTTGCCGGGAACTCCGTGGCGCCTCCTTAAATCTCTGCCGTTAAAATGTGGGCGGGTGTTTCAAGTCAAAGAGCGCTCAAAATGTTTTTCCTTTTCAAAAAAAGCTGCGGAGGAGAAGTCGGGGAGGGGAGAGGAAGGGGAGACCGCGGACTGGAGGAGAAGGAGGAACCGGCTTTCTAGGCAGCAGCCCGCAGGAAAAAAAAGAAAAGAAAAGAAAAATTCAACGGGGTTGATCCAGCCACGGCAGCTTCCAGACGCTCGCGGGACCGGCCGCCGGCGCTCTGCGGGGAAAGGAGTTATTTTGGCGCCTTTTAGCCAGGCTGGCGATTGCGCCTTCGGGCTCCTGTCACTGGGGCGCAGCCGCCGCTGCCCCTCTCGCTACAGAACTCGGCTGCCGAAAGGAGGCAACGGGGACACGGCGGGGCTGAAGCAGATGCTGCCGCAGCCGCAACCGCGCTGAAACCACCAGCGCGCCGAAAGATGCGGCGACCCCCTCGGGTGTGCTGGTGTGCCCGACCTTCCCGGCTCTCGCTCGGGCTCAGCCAATCCGCCCCGACCAACCCCGACTTTGCGTCTCTTTGAGTCTGCAGCGCGCCCATCGCCCCCGGGATGGGGGCGCCGAAGTCCCGCCGCATCCCCGGCGGAGTTGGGCAGCTGATCTCCTGGCCGGGGCTGGTTAATCCCCCGGCTACAGAAACTGGATTAACCCCTTCGCTCCTACTGTTGGCCGTCCAGGGGGCTGTTACTCGGGGGCGAAGAACGGACTCCACGGGGTCAAGAACGAAGCCCCGGCCCTCCGCATCGGGAACGGAACCCGCGGCTTCCATAGAAGCCTGCCCCGAGGTCTCGGCTGGACCGAACTGGTGGGTTGTGTCTTCTTCTTCTTCTTTCACCTCTCAGCTTCCACCTTGTTCTTCTCTTTCTCCATCTCCCCTTCCTTACTGAGCTTGGGGTTCCCCACACCCCACCCCAAGTGTGTCTGCTCTGCTCGCTGAAGGGCTTGAATCAATTTATGCGCCCCGGCCAAGGTCCGGCGGGGGGCGGGTGTTGTGCGCGTTAGAGGTGCAGAGATCTGCTTTTCAAGCGGAGCTGCAGCAGTATGTATGACGTGTGAACCAAGGGGCGGGCTTCTGGCAAGCAGCTTTTTTACGAGTATTTACTACAAGAAGGTCTAACTCCAGAAGATTAACATCCCCGCTCCTGTCAGTTTCCGATGGCCATGCCCGGTTAAAAACAACCCTTAAGATAATCAAATACAAGCCCAGGTTTTCTGCTCGTTGGCGATCGTCATTCGCCCTAAGGAATGGCCGAACCTTTGGCGAATGAGTTGGCGTCTGCAGCTGCCAGAGGGGACCTAGCGCAAGTTACTAATTTGTTGGAAAATGATATAAACGTCAATGCACAAAATGGATTTGGGAGGACTGCGCTGCAGGTTGGTATCTGGGCGGGCAGAGGCGATCGTTCGCCGCTAGGTGAACTGGTTTGACGGGGGAAAGGACCGTTTTAAAAAGGGGAGGAAAAAAAATCAGCATTTTTTAAAAAGCGAGTTGGTTGCCATATTTTATAAGTTTCACCGCTCCAACTCCTTAAAGTGACGTATTTTAAGCAAAACCTGGTTTTAATGTTTCTCTAGTCTCGGGATAAACCTTGTCCGTAAGACACCTCGTCTTTAAAAAAAAAAAAAAAATCTGAGGCAGGGAAGCAAGTGGCGGAGGCAGAGGGGGAGGGAAAGGAACAATCCGGGCTAGGTCGTGTTTCCGAGCAGGTCGGTAAACACCTCATTTTTGAAATCCGGATTATATCTGTTTCAGTATCTGAACCGGGGTGTTGTCTGGCTACTAAAAGGTGGCGGTTGGGGCTTATTTTTTCTCACACTCTGGCGAGCATGTTTCCCCCCCCCGCCCCCCCCGAAAAAAACCCCTATCGCCCCTGAATAACTGCAATATACGACGAAGCAATGTGGCGATCTGGATCACGAAAATCCAATGCTTTGTTATTCACCATCCTTCGGGTGCTTTTTGATATACTGGTGGATCGCTTCCCTGCGAGAATTTCCTTTCCGTAGGTATATAACGCCGTCTACACCCATTTCCAGTGTTTAGATTTACAGGCGGCTGCTGGAGCCCTTCCAGCTACTAAAACCCTGCACCCGCTGAAAGATGTTTTCTTTGAGAACATTGGATAACGGTGCTGAAAGTGTTACGTGGGTGGGGGAGAGGTAGGGGTGCCCGACCAGACACAGAAGAAAAAGGTAGGTGAAAATCTGGGAGGATTTTCCGATGCAAGACCGTGGATCAAGTCCGAAGTACTGCGGAATATTCAGCAGGCTCCTTAAAGAAAAGCAATGTGTTGGTTAAACTACAGACAGAGTCCACTTTCTAAAATGTTGGAAGAGGGGATCCCTGTGGGTGAGGGATGAAAACTCCAGCAACACAACCTCCTGTTTAAAATGGAAAGAAACCTTCCTACTGTAATAGGACCAGTGTTCTTTTCCAATTCACCTCAGTAATCCTAAATTATTTTCCGATATGCAAAGAGCATAAATGCCTAGAACCCTTTTAGGTTTCTGTGCACCACAACAGGTAGGTCATATTTGGAACCAACCATTGAATTGGTGTGGTAAAAAAGGAAGTGCAACCTCCATTTCCACCTCCTTACTAAGTTGCCAATTCTTTTTCTTACTGTTTAATGAGAACCAATGATTCTGCCCCCCCTCCCCCCCATTTCATAATTTACAGAGATACACCTCCGCTTATTCAGTAAGGGGTGTGTGTGTCTTTTCCACCACCTACTTTTCATTGCAGCTTCATTACAATTTGAGGCAAGCTACACACACACACATCTGAATAAAAGTAAACACAACAGAAGAAGCTGATTCTTGTTTTCAGTATGTGTAAACCAGAAAGATCTTATGGGTGGATGATAGAACTTAAGCTGATAGTCAATATTGCTTACCAAAGAAAGTGAAAATACACATTGGCTCCTATGGTCTCATTTAAATTATTCTGTCTCTTCTCTGAATGTTTTTCCTCTCTTGTTTTCCTTTTTCCCTTCTTTTTTCAAATCAGGTATTTATCTGAAGGCCTCCTTTCTCAATCTGGCTAAGAACAGCTGTGCTTAGGCCTTTGCATGCAATCTGTACCCTTCCCTTGTTAAAACAATTCCACACCAGGAAAAAAAAACATTTAGAAACATCTAAAACTGTCTTTAAAACCAGACTTTTCTCATAGTTTGTACACTATAGATAACTTTTTATCTTCCACAGATTTGGAACCTGATCCTGATTTTTATATTTACCCCAGATTATGAATTTGACAGGAGATACATGGTGAAATCGTAAATGTTTAAGGAGTACATGTTCATTTTATCATAATGGCTGGTACTAGTTTCCAAAAAGCTAACTGTATTTGCATTCCAAATTGGTAAACAAGAGGGCAGGTGATTGGATTACCAAGGAAGAGATTATCACCTAGTAAACTACCATCTTTGTGACTGCTGATCTACATTCTGAGCCTTATATGTTCTCTCACATAACTCCCTCTTGTTTTATGAATTTTCCGGTTTTGTTTACTGTAACTGTTTCCCTTTGTATACTAAAACAGAAGACAGCATTCCTAGCAAGAAAAAAAATGTAAAAGGCACACGGCAATATTATTTTATAAATGGGTAGGCAAAACAGGACTGAAGAAAAAAAATACTGAAAGCAAAAGAACACGTCATCTTTGAAAGCTAGCTGTTCCCTGTAACAAAGCTTGACCGAGGTGTAAACTTCAGTATGTGATATTTGGCTGTGGCTTTTCAGACACAAGGATTAAAATATTTAAAAGGTTCAAGGGTCTCTGAGATGAGCAATCCTAACTATGACAGTATAAGAAAAATTATAGTCACTATATCATTTTTTCCTTTCACCAGAAATTCTTAAGAAAACGTGCTTTTAGTGATAATACTGTATCAAAACGTTCACAGAAAGGGAATGTTTAGGGAAGCCAACAGCTTTTAAAAACTTTCTACTTAAACTGAATATAAGCAATAAAGTTAGAGGTATTGATTTTCATTCATATAACAATCCCAAATGAAACTAAAACTGCAAACTACAAATACATTTCCTTGGAAGTTAAGACCCTCTGAATTTACTAAGAGTTTTTAAAAATACATAAATCCGTTTGATTGGTTACTCCACAGATAAAGGACACAAGAAATATATACTCTGTCTTATTGATTAAAATGTGTTCTCTGAGTAATCTACAATTAGTCTACAATGTGACCATAACAGGATTACATTTCAGTTCTTTGCAAGTGCAGAAGCAACACAGCTTTGTTTTTAACAGTGGCATTCTTCAATTTCCCCTTACTTCTTTCATTTCACTACTGGTACTTTTCCATGTTTGCTTGCACTTCCTACCCTAAGAATGATTTTAGATCCATCCAGGTTTGCAAAACACATTATATTCTAAATCCACTATCTGCCCTTTTGTTTAGGGTATTGTTTATTTTGTTTTCAATTGCAACTGGAAAGGCTTAAATAAAGGAAGAAATTGAGCCGTTTTGTCACATATACAGTGTATTTGCTAATAAGGTACTACACAGACATTTAACTTTTTACACACTTTAAATCAGACACATCTTTAATTAGAAATAGTCATGTAGGTCCTCTATTCTTTATACAATTGGGAAATGGGCCCTTTGGATTTTAGACCCACTTTCTATCAAAGAAGGACAAGCCCATCAGTGTCATATATCTATTGCCTTAACCAAGAACCTCATCCTTTTACCCTGTCCCTTGGTTTTTTTTCCCCCTTCATTTCTATCATGGCACAACAGGAAATACCATTTCCCATCATTTTATTTGTTTGTTTATTTTGGCACTATTTGTTTCTGTGAGGTGTATGGTGGGTTTCACAGCACTACCGTTTCGGCAATTATAGCTTCTCCATTGTAGTATCTCAGAAGAGACTTAAGTTCAGTTTTTAAAAGCAGGAGTGGGAGAAGGGGGTCTCTCTGCAGTCACGGGGCCATTAACGTTGGGGACCAAACGTTACGGCCAGAAATGTCAAATAGAAGGCAACTGCAGGTGTCATCCCAAAATATCCCGGCTCAGAAAGCCTTCCAATCAGATGCACCATCCTTGTATTCTCTGCCCCGGGATACCGAAGAGATTGACATCCCGTTTCCCTAGGGCTCTAGGCTCCCGCGCGCACTTTCCCACGGGCTTCCCCAAAGGCAAAGGCTCTGCAGGAAAGCTCCGACCGGTACGTGGGGATACACGTGTAACGTGTGAACTCAGCCCTTGGGGGAGGGAACACATTTGCCCACTGCCTCGCGTTTCTCTTCCTCGCCCTCTGTCTTCAGGTGGTGAAACTGGGGAACCCGGAGATCGCCAGGCAGTTGCTGCTGCGAGGCGCCCACCCGGATCTGAAAGACCGCACCGGCTTCGCTGTCCTGCACGACGCGGCCCGTGCCGGCTTCCTCGACACGCTGCAGACTTTGCTGGAGTTCGGAGCGGACGTGAACGTGGAGGACAACGAGGGCAACCTGCCGCTGCATTTGGCCGCCCAAGAGGGCCACCTGGCTGTCGTGGCCTTCCTCCTGGAGCGCACGGCCAGCCGGGTGGAGCATCGCAACAAGAAGGGAGCCACCGCCTACGACCTGGCCAAGCTCTACAAGAGGCAGGCCGTCGCCAAACTGCTGGAGAACAGCAGGCGGAAGGAGGGCGCCCTCAGTGGGGAATGAAGCCCACCCCTTGCCCTGGACTCCAAAATGCCTGCTTGTACACCTGTCGCCTTTCCTTTCCTCTCTTTCTCTCTTCATCTTAATCAAAGTATGGGGTCGGTCTTTTTTTTTTTAATGCAGACATGGAGATGTCTGAAGATGTGTTTTTGTGCTTTCTGGTAACTTGTAAAAGATCTATAAAAGCTTACTGTGATTTCCCATCCCTGAACATTATCTAGCCTAACAGAGGTTAACATAATATGAAACAGTGCATGAAGGAGTGTATATGTGAAAGACCTTTTGTGCCAGAAGGGGAAGTGGGAGGAAAAGAGAGACTTTTGGACAATTGAATCACAAACGTTTGATGAGATGGATAAGCTAACAAAAGGTCTATGGGACATTCATTAAAAGTGCTTTCATTGTTATTTTTCTTCTATTTTTATTGTCATGCCTTATTGCCTAAACATCTCTTTTTCTGAAGGAAGTTCTGCTGAAATCTAGCTTTCTTCTAGTTAAACATGTTTAGGACCAAAGGTTCGGTTAATTCACCACATGTATCTGACCAGAGACGAAATCTCAGTTTGGGGTAGTTTGAATAGTGAAGCTTCAATATAATGTATAATAATAAAAAGAGTAAAAAGGGAATTTATCAAGTCCAAAGTCACACAGTGTGGGAATATGATATCTTGGCTATTTGCACAAACACAAGTTTAAAATTTAAAAAAAGCAATTTATAAGATTAGATCACATTTAGTGACTTGATCAAATTTTGGGAATGTTCTAGATTTTTCTCAGATTAAACTGCCAGAGTAGTACTATTTACTCACATTTGTTCCAGTAGAATAAATCCAGAATAAGCATTTATTTTTGTGGTTAATTCTTGGGATTTTAGATGAAAGCCTCTTTTACAGAGTCATTTCTGTATAACTGTAGTTTAGGCACTCAGAAGCAAAAATGTGAAGTTGGATTGTTTTAGTTGCAGTTTTCTATGTATCTGTGTGGGATTGAACTGCACTGAACTCAGTGAGTGGAGCTTAGTTCTGAGCAGATGTGGCTAAGATTGCATTGTTACTTGGAGTTTTAGGATTGCTGAGTAGAAAAGCTGACTATTAAACATGTATTTTGCATGGGAATAAATTACAAAACCTATAACCTTTATCAATTATTTAGAATAATTTCACTCTCATCCTGATAATTTTCTGATTAAAAACTTCAGCTTGTTGCAGTGGAGAGAATTCATTGCTATTCGCCTCCACAAAGAATTTTCTGTGTCATAATGATTCAACTTGCTGTGAAGATAAAAAACTGAGAAACTGTGATGTTTTATGTGATCCAGGTCTTAGATTGTTACTTTCAAGAGGGGTGACATCTAGCTATATTGGTCAATTTCAATTTGGCTCATTAAAAAAAAAAAGATTAATAAATTGTATCAGCAACTGCATCCCCCTGCATTTCTCCTGCATTGTAGAGACTTTTCCTTTCTTGAACAGAGATTTCAGAAGGGCCAGTTAAAAACTAAACCAATCATATCCTTTTCCAGACATTAAAAAACAAACTGACATCTAAAGGAATTAGCTGTCTGTAAAACAAAACAAAATCTCACATTTTCTTTCTGGTAAACCTGCCCCTCCCATCCTTATGAAAGTTTATTTTTTAAAAAAACTTTAATATTTGAAAAGCTAGTAAATATATAGGCAAGCTTCTAGCAGATGGACTGTCATAATGGGCTCAAAAAGTTAGTCAACAAAAGAAACTGTGGTTTCAGAAATGACTTGAATGAAATCCCCAGTGTCAGGCAAAAGACCTCAGGACTGCTCTTTCTCTTTTTCAAAAGCTTTTCATAATTAATGTGGTTAATGTGAACTCTTAGTGTTATCAATCTAACAGCAAATAGCATTAATTCAATTTCTCTTAAATATAATGCAGAAAGTGGGAAACCAATCACATCAGAAGTTTTCTCAAAAAGCCATATATTTACCCATGCTCTTTAGCTATCTTTCATTTGGCACTAACATAGCTAAAGAGCAATATCCGATCTTAGAGATGGACTGTTACACCATTATTTCACTCGGACTTGGTAATAGTTAAGAACGTTTGAGATTAGCGTCCAATTTGACATAGTCTGCTTCGCTAGAGCTTCCGCCCAGTCCAAACCAAAGAGTTATACTTTTTTTAAAAAAAATCTCAGAGCACTAATATTTGGATTCCCCACACCTAGTCCCACCTTTGAAGCAGGTCGAGACTGAATATGGGTGGAAATTCCAAAGCCTTCAACGGCTTAAAAATTCGGGCTCAATAAACCGACGTCGCATTTGTAGTGAGAAGATCTTCAGACAAATTGACTTCTGTGGAGCAGGTGAGCCATACTAGACTCCATTTATCCAGAAGAAGGCTCCACACAGAGTGTGACGGGTAGCACTCTCTGCCCCCATGATCAGGGAACAGAAAAAGGGACGGGACTCAGGATAACCAGTTTTCCGCAAGCTCTGCTCTGCTGTCTTGTTGACCAGGAACGGAGTTGCCATTGGCTTTCAGGGCGCTTTCTTTGTCTACTGGAAACCTGGCCTTGGAGACTTGGATCCTAGGACTATCTCAGTGAGACTCGTTATTCCCAAATAAATATCGGGGGAGCTGAAGCAGCTTATTTGTCAGAAGTAAGTGCCACTGCAAGTCACTCACGTGGAAGAAGGTAGATGGCATATTAGAAGGGAGGGGAAGAAGAGAAGTAGGGAGGTAGAGGAGTCCTCAGCGTTCTTGATCTTTCACGCCCATGTTCCGAATGGGTTTTACCAACGGCGCGCTCGCTGCTGAAGTATAAAGTTAGAGGGAGGGTTTGAAAACGACCCAGAGCACCTAACTCGTGTCTGCTAGATCCGAGCCGTTCCCTCCGGCGAAGCCGGAGGCGTAATTTGGCTGCCGCACCAAGCTCAGCCAGGTGCCCTGCGCCGCAGGTAAGGTACCTGCGGGCACACCAGAGCAAGCACCACAACCCGTTGGAGCCGAAACCTGTATTTGGCTTTCTGCCCTGGGAATCCATGTGAATCCTGAGCCGGCTAGAATCTTTTATCTCGCCAGACCCAGGACAAAAGTGGGGGGCGAAGAAGGAGTCGTCCTCCCCCGCCCTTCATTTCTTCCAAGGACCAGGAGCAAGAAGCGTGGCCCAGATGCGAGGTGCTCAAAATGTCGGAGCTGTTCCTGGCTTCCGCGCCGCGTCTTTTCCTTCGCGGCGCTTCGTGCCTCTCCTGCTGGGAACCGTCCGAGGTTCCAGTCCGCCGCGGTGTCCAAAGCCAAGGCTGGGGCCATGCGGGGTCCGCGCCTAAGAGCCAAGCCGCGAGTGGGAGGGGAGAGGCAGCTTCAGAACCGTTACTTCGCCCCCCCCCCGCGCCCGTGCTTCCCTTCTCTCCCCATCTGTGTCCCTCCCCTTTTACGGTTTCTTTTCCCTTTCTCTTCCTGTCCAAACATTTTTAAATTTCCGCGCCTTCCTAACAGTCTGATTGTACAGTATTGATTTGGCTTCTTCTTCCGCGGGCTTCGGCGCCCTTTGTTTTTGTCCTTCTGGTCAGCCGGGAGGGGGGGGGTTGCCGTGAACTTCTCTCGCAGCCCCTTCTCCCGAGCAGGCAAGGCGAGGCAGGAGCCCAGGAGCGACCTCGGATGAGCCCCGCATCTCCTTCCTCTGTCCTCGCCCACCGCGCCCCGAGGAGGTCTCTCACAGCCGGTGCAACCTGCCGCACTGGATGGGCGAGACCTGCGGGTTCTCTCCGACGCTGAAGTCCCAGCCCAAGTGGCCGGAAACGCCGAGGCAAAAAACGCCGTCCCTCTGCAGTTTTCCTTCGGCGAGGAAGATGCCGGGGAGGGGGGGAAGGCGGTGTGCGTTTGCGCGTGTCTGGGAAGCTGCTGCTGAAAAGGCTCCTTTTCCTTCTAGAATCGCCAAAGGCAACTGTCCCAAAGCGGCCTTCGCCTCAGTCTTAAGAGGTCCTAGCACACGGAGGAAAAAGGCAAAGGGCAAGGAAGGTATTGGTATTTTATTTTACATACATTTCATAGTTAATTCTTAACTTACTTTTTCTGTTGCCCTATCAAAGCCAGTATTTTATGGGGAATTAACAAAGACAAGAGCATTTGTGAATCCCATTAACTAAAACTCAGGTCAGATACTTTTCTCAGTATCGGTTCCGTGTGAATGATAGGAAGAGATTTCTCCTGCCCTGCTTTAGAGGAAACCCATAACTTTACCCTGTTGTTCACATTACTCTTTATCAGCAAAATGGGGGTTTCAATTTTGGGAAATCTCATTTTTGCAAAGTGCTTATCAAAGAAATGCCAGCTCTTTGCAGCTTTTAGAATGACTTCTATGGAAAGAAACTTGTTTATCTGTTAAACAGATTGTTTAATGCCACCCTAAATTTCCATATCAGTATCAGCTAAAAGCTGAAAGTGTCACCTTACAGAATAACCTTTTTTTTCATTTTACTATGCCCTTAAATTTGACTATGACTATGGTTCCAAAGCTTATAAAAATAATGTGCTTAATAACACTGAAAAAGATCAGCCACCTTATCTTCCTTAAATATTACTACCTCTTTTAGGCAATAGTGTAATTATTAGAAGTTCATTACCACTCAGCAAAATAATCACACCATGAAGAATATTAACTACAATTTTGAAAGAAAAATGACATTTTTAAGCCAACCTTTGTTTCTTTCAATAAAATATTTTGAAAAGGAAGTGAACCTGGAAGATTAATTAGTTAATTTAATACTCTTGGTTACATGTAAGATTTAAGCAGCTAAATGGTAGTAAACATTTGGATTCATTTTTTGCTACTATTAAATACTAATTTTAATAATCAGAGTTGGGCCTTTCTCGTATCAGAAAATGTTTTTCATACATTAATACAATGTTAATAATAAAACAAGCATGATTTATGTGGCGGATGTTAAGATGTACTTTAACTTACAATTTCAAGTTTTATTCTTCATGAACATAAAGATCCCTAAAAAATTATTTGTGCTTGAGAATATAGTCAATATTTTAAGAATTGGGTTACTTAACTGATACAGAATGTGAATAGAGAAATGTATTTTTAAGACAGTAAACTTTGCATCCTTGTTTTGAAGTTAATTTTTGACAATCATACAATTCCTGCTGTTTTACCCCAATTACGTCAACCAGAACAAAATAGCTGTCAACATGTTTGAGCAACAGCCATTTTACTGAAGGTTTGAATGAGAAGCTCCATTTCAGACCTTTTCTCTTTCTCAGCCTAAATGACATTTAGATTCAAATTGCTTTTGCCAAGGATTTATCTTCAGCATATGCTAATATAAAGTGATGCATATGTTTACCTAACTTTACCCATATTATAATGGTATATTATACTGCATTGTACATATTACATTATTTATATTTTTGGATGCTACTAAACAAAGAATATAAGATGTTTTAAAATGTTACAAAGTTAAAAAAGAAACAAAACTTTTGTGCTATTAATTAAACTCCTTGCAATATTTCCTATATTCTAAAAGTAGGAAAAATAAAATTGGTAGGAAAAGTCTACTTTAACTTAGAACAATTTAATAGAATTTACATTTGATGAATTCTGGCTTCTGTTTAGTCATTATCCCTCTCCTAGATAATAAATGAAATAGGAAAATTGGATACAATGCATATTGAATATTGGATTTTTATTAACCTTAGAGTGCACAATATTTCGAATACTGCCTGGATAGATTATTTAAACATAGATTAAGCTAAACAATATTTAAGGACAAGATTTTTATTTACTTTCTGATTTAAGCTTCCATTTTAAGAATTACATAATGGGTGGGGTCCATTCGGAGCATCAAACTGAATCTAGAACTTCATCAGGATTCTAAATGAAAGCATCATTGGAAGATGGATGTCCAACTTCTGCTTGAATACATCTAGGAAACACAAGCTCAACCACTACCCAGATAAAGGTTTCCACTATCAAATCCCCTCATTATTAGGAACTTTCTGATCCAGCATTCAATTAAATCCATTCTTCCTTTTTGTGCTCTAGGATACCCAGATTTTCTGTTACATCCTTCATAACTTGAAGGATATTATCATATTCTCCCCATTTTTTCAAGGCTAAACATTTCCAGTTTCTTCAAACTGTCTTTATAAGTCTTGACCTTCTCTGAATTTTTTGCACTGTGTCTAAATTTTAAATGCGGTGCCCAGAATTGTACACAAATAATTTAGGTGAGGTCTGCATGAAAACATAGGATTTGGAAACCTTTATTGATATAATATCATACTGTATTTACTTTTAAAATAAATTATTTTTCGTCAGTGCCCAGATCAGCATTTTTGCAGCTACACCACATTGCTGACTCATATTCAGTTTGTAATAATTGCTATTTTTGTTTGAAAGCAAAGTTTGTTTAGTTTTTAAAGCAATTTCCACTTAAAATAAGTAGGTGTAATTCTGCTACATGTAGTCCTGGAAAACTAAGTCATTAAGAACATAGACACTAATCAGACAATTAGCTCTACTAGTCTAATTTGTATCACCTAGAAGCAAAAAGTAACATATTTTAAGTATAAAAATTAATGGAAGTTTAATATTTTTCCAATTTGAATAAACATTGATATAATCAATAAAATCAGTATGTTGACAAAATCAGAATTTAAGAATCAGTGAAATCAATATGATTGCTATTTTTTTTACACTACGCTAAGAAAATCAAAATGTCTTTTCTATTTCTTAAAATAGAAATTTATAGCATGTTTTTTCTAAGCTAAAGTCTACGTGATTAGATGGATACATTTATACATACATATATACATACACATATATGCAAATGTTATTACTATTATCCCATAAATGGGCATAGAGTGGTATTTTTTCCATTGTGTAATGCCGGTATGTATAGTATGTATTTATATATACGTATAACATAACCGGTATGTATATATATGTATAACAAACACAGAGAAGTGGCAAATAAACTTGTCTTGATGCAAGGTATTCCAAAATTTTATTTCAAAAAGTATTGCCTACTTTAATACTTAGTACTTCTGCTCATGCATATTAATGTATCTACAGACATATAGACATTTTAATATAAAATCCACAGATTGCATTTTGGCATCCTTTAGAGCAAATTGTAGAATTGGTCATTTCCTGCTATATATGTGCAATGACACTGGGTGCCAATTTCACAAACATGCTAAAGCATATTGCAGCTTATTTACCTGAGGCTATACTTATGTAAACGGATCCATTATGACTAAGCATTAATCATAGACTAAGCCACCATGGCTTATTTAATAAGCCACTATGGCTTATTTAATAAGCCATAATTTAATCCTTGTCTCTTAGTATTATGTAGCAACACAAGTATTTGCTCATTCTGCTGTTTTTTTTTTTTTTTTGCAGAGACATACATTCAATTTTGTCATGTAGGCACATTCATTGGTCTCATATAGCTTAGTAGTTTTCCTCATACTGTCTTGAAAACTTCCTATAAAGTAAAGTGAAAATACATTGTTTCAGGAAAAGATACAATTATATTACTTGAACAGTTTTAAATAAAAATATTCTATGCTTGGTTTTGTTATTTTTATTGATTTCTTGAAGGTACTTAATAATATCATCTTGTATTCTTCAGCTGATGCTTGTTTTTTGCGATGCAATAAATGATAGGGAGAAGAAAATTCTTTAATATTAGAAAGATAGATATTGTTAGGCCCAGTTTGGTATCCTTAAGGTATGTTGAAATTTTTATTGAAATGAAGAAATATTTTATGATCTCCATTTTAGGCCTTTATGAATAACACTGTGCAATTACATTGTTTAATTACAGAACTATGTGGTTTCCCCTCTCTGGTGTTGTAGCATTTTATATTAGCATCCTTAGAAGAGTGTTATGTTGAACTGAAATAGGATACAATTAAATTTAAAAAGGAGGAAAATATTTTTATAATCGAGATATCATTAATGATTAAATTAGTCACAAACCAATTAATATTATATAAGACTTATAGGAAGAACCCATAAATCCATGCATTTATTATCTTTTCAATTACATATTTTCAATCTAAGGAATATTTGTGCAGTATTCACATAGCCAGTTTGGTCTAGTGCTTAAGGCATCAGGTTAGAAACGAGGAGACTGTAAATTCTAGTCCTGGCTTAGACAAGAAAGAAAGCCAGCTGGATAACCTTGGGCCAATGACTTTCTCTCAGCCCAACCTCCACCTGAATTATTTATAAAAATAATAAAGGCAACATATGAATAAAATGGTCAGTTGTTTTGAAGAATACTATACCTTCTTAAGGAAGGAACAGAAACTACATTAACTTAGATCCCTGAACAGTTATATTTCATAGTAATAGAACTATTTTATTTGAGCTACAAAAATTCAGTTGAACAATCTATGGGAGGAAAAACATAGAATTTTCTATATCTCTTTGCTGCCATCTATCAGTCATCCAGATTTATTTCACCCCAGATAGGGTAGCTATTAGTAAAAAAGCAGATTTTAAAAAAATATCTATAGCCTATTACCACATTAAAGAAGACAAACAAATAGGTGAGGAGAAGGGAGAGAAAGGGATTTTCATAAAGAAATCAAAGAATCAAACTTTAGGTTTATATCCGTGGGCTCCTCTGTCTCAACAATATCATGCTGTTTCATTTCTTTTTAAATCTGTAAATAAAGCTAATTTTAAAGGTGTAAAGTGTAGTTGCTGTTTTTCCAGAAAGAAACTAAAAGAAAGTGATCAATGTTCCCAAAAATGCAAGCTAAATTGTATGCATATATTTTAATAGCAAGCCGATCTGTCTTACCTCTCATTTGCAATGTTCAATGCACTATTCAGTAAGGTTTTAATCTTATGTTATCTTATCTGGCTATAAGTTCCACTGAAATTAATGGGACTTCCTTCTGAATAGAATTATATACTTGTCCTATAAGAGAATGATTACTGCAGTAATAAAATCATATATAAACTAAATATATCTAATTGTTCTCAGACA